GTCAAATACATAAAGCGCGCGTAGTCGTAGTAGTAGTAGTAGTAGTAGTAGTAGTGGTAGTACTAGTAGTAGTACTACTACTACTACTACTTGTACTATTTCTATTCTTGCCATGACCACGATTGCTATTATGGTTGACCTTTACTGGTGCAAGCAGGCACTCCCATTAAGCATTTAATGAGGGTAAAGGGCTTGGGGTCTGGGGTTTGGAGTTGTTGGCTTCAGGTGCTTTTTACTCTCCATCCTCACTTTAGGGTTTAGGGTTTAGGGAGGAACGGAGGATAAATGAAGACTGAAATAGATGCAGCAATTGTAAAGCGAGTATCATTAGCTTTTTTGCGTGGTCCGAGCCAATTTGATTTTCTTCTCACAACCTAAATTAACAAGACTCGGGACAACACTCACTCAACGTTGGCGAGTATAGTATCTCCATGTAAAAGCACTACCCAACTGGCAACCTCCAAAACAAAATCAACGATGGCATGCCGCGAAGGCGCTTAGGAGGGTTTGTTTTCATGGTAAGTGCCTCTAGAATCATTTAAGGCTTTCTCAAAATTCTTCTCCCACATGATCCACAGGGACCACCCTAATTTCCTTATCAACTCTCGTTTAGGGTCCTTAGGTATCCCTGCTTTGCGAAACTGCCTTATCCCTGACCCTAAGCAATGAAGCATTGATCGTGGCTTACAGTCCTAAATCACCGCATGGCCAAGGACTTTGCAAACACATCCCGCGTGGGGCTTTAGGGAGTCGCAAGGGTGGGTTCAAGTGCCAGAAGACCTGTAACCATGGTGCAATCTACGCAAGTATTGTCTAAAACTGCAGGGGGTCTATGCACAACGTACTCTGACTAAAACTCTTTTTTGCACGGACGGGTCTTGAGAGAGCCTTTGGGTTTCCCAAAAAGTTGGTCACACCTATGCCAAGGAGTAGAGTATTCTGAGTATGTTGCTGGGACCTCATTCGTGTTAAGACAATACCGCAAGCACCAACTAACCATGGAACAACCCCCCAAAAGTCGCAAAGGCTAACTAACTTTAAATTGGGCTTCTGACACACCTTGGGCGTACCAGAAGCCGTCAGCACGGAATAGCCAGAATGTTGAATATGGAGACTTTGCAAATCTTTCCCCAACCCCTCTACTCTGTACCCCTGAGCCCTACACCCATACATCCTGACCGTTCGCCCCATCAAACTGCTGCTTCAAATTCAGAAGCTGTCCGGCTGCTCCTGGCTGGTTGGAAAAGGGATTCAAACTCAGGATTGTGTGGAATCTAGGCGGGCTATGCTTTGATGTACTTCGGCTAACTTCATATGGCTTATAGCCTAAACCCCTAGCATCCCCCTTAGTAACCCCTATAATTCTCCTCCACATAATCCCGTATATAACCCTCCCGTACGGAGTTTAGACTACAGCGCATATCATTTCCTTCAAAGCATCCCAGTCTTCCAAGTATCCATGTCGCAGGGCAAACACAGGTCATCATCAAGTTTGCAAGAACGTCCCAGCCCCCAACGGCATGCTGCTTCGTACGATTGTAACCCAAAGGTATACAGAATCTCTGCTAAAATTTGTAGGCAACAAGTGCTCTTTTCAGGGTTGAGCCATTACATAGAGTGGATGGCAGAAAGCTTGCGCCACCTAGAAACCGCAGCATGCTGTAATTTTTGGGTAGGGAAAACCCCCAACCCTAAATCCCCAAACCCCAAAAACCCAAACCCCAAAACCCCCAAATCTTAAACCCGTTATTCGAGAGCTTGTTTGGAAAGTTCCTGAAAGCTGGCCTAACTGTAGCAAGTTCAGATACCCTATAAACCCCAGACCATGGTCCCGAAATCCTATACCCCGAGCCCTAAACCCCTGGGCCCCTTTAAGGGGTATATAAGGATATTGCTCCGAATAATGGAACATCAGAAATGAGAAAGAAAATGAAATGAAACCCTAGCCGGGAGTGCTGGAAATCAAAAGAGCATGGCAAGTATTCTAACCCTAAATCCTAAACCCTATAACCCTAAACCCTGAACAACAAAATTCTGTCAACTCTGCCCAGAACTCCAAAACCCTATGTCACATGCTTAGCCATCCGTCGCCTGATCGGCAGATGGCAGTGGTGCCCCAGGAGGGATCCGGCTTTTCGACTTCTGCTTCGAGATGTCCTACCAAAGAGGCTAGCGCAGGGTCCAAACTAATCGGAGTGGTGCAGGATCAGCTGTAACATGACATGGGCGTGCGGTTAAGAACATATGTTATAAAAAAGTCAGAATCTAAAGAGCAGGGGCTGGAATATTTAGAATTGGATCTTGAAGTAGATGCTCTGACTTTATGAAGACGCTGGTCCAGCCCTGTCCACAATTGCTTCGAGAGGTCCTGCTTAAATGGCTTCTGCAAGATTTCAAAACATGATCCCCCGGTCTTAAGCGGGCACCTTTGCAGTAGATGGGTACCCATACATCGGTTTGCAGGTAACTGGAGTGCGACACATCAGGGGCTGTTGCGATGACAATGCTTTTACTACTGCTATTGCTGCTGCTGCTGCTGCTAGTACCACTGTTACTACTGCTACTAGCACAAGCATAACCTACATTCTAAAGGCAGTCCTTTGCTCTTGGCTTCGTGGCTGGCGGTTTCGGCCTGAAAGCTTTCTCTGGCTGTACAACTGACGTAAAACTTGAATCCAACACTTGGAACTGGAGATTTCTCAGGCTCAAACCCCATGTTTAGGGTTTAGGGTTAAACAGTATCATCCCGGCTTTAGAGCCTTCAGGGACCCCACAGCACGTCCCTGGCCCACAATGCGGGCCAATCTTCCCCTTGGCCCCCAAATCTTAGGTCTACGTTTTCGGGGGTCTATGTTTTTTGGGAGTTTTGATGAAGCCTGCGGCTGATGCGGTGGAATAAAATCTACCTCCTTCAAACTACCTGAACCCTGCAAGCTTCCATGCAAGCGCTACGACATCAGGTCGACCACCTGCGTCTCGGTGTAAAAACAGTGGAGGCGCAGCTCTGACTTTACTACCTCAATGCATTCGGGGTTTGGGTTTAGGGTTTATGGGTCAGTGTTTAACCTCAGTGTAGACGCTGAAAGACGGAATAAGGCTTTGGGGTGTATTCTACAATAAATTTAGCAGAATCATCAAGAAGTCTCTCCTTCGCTGAATCTTTGTTTTGTTTCCTTCCCTTAACTATTCATACACATGCACATCATACAAATGATATGTCCCTGTTTGTCCCTTCCTGTTCCTGAAGCTCTGCGGGCTAAACGCAACATAGGACCCTCAACCCTAAACACGTAGGAAATGGCGTGTTCCCCTCTCTCCCTCTCACCGAAGGAAAATTTTGGGGGTACAGTAAAGGTCTCCCTGTAAGGATGCTGCATTCAAGCTCGGAGCCTTAAACCCATAAACTTGATCCCGATATCCTGAGCCCAACACCATCAGTAGCAGGTAATTGTAATAACAGTAATAGCCAAAAGGAATTAGTAATAGCAATAGTAAAAGTAAACGTACTAATAATAGTAATCAGTAATAGGAAGTGGTAATAGCAATAGCAATGTTAACCATGAAATTTCGCGTCTGTAGCCCACCACAGCCTGCCAAAGTACCGCAGCAGCGAACGAACATCCTCCTTCTTCGCCACATCCAAGGCCGACCGACCTTGATAAACCCTTTAAAACCGTGCGGCTTGAGGGGTTTAGGCTTCAGGGGTTTAGGGTTTAGGGGTTTAGGGTTGAGGGGTTTAGGGTTGAGGGTTTAGGGATTTAGGGTTTAGGGTTATGTTCTTTTGCGAGTGTTCGGAGGGTCTTCAGAAATCGCGGGCCCCCCAAAATAAAGGCTCCCACAAAAAAGGGTCCCTTTCTTTCGTTGAATCCTCATATGTCAGAACTGAGCTTGCGCCATGTAGTAGCCTGAAGCTTCTAAAGGCTGCGCTGAAGGCCTAAACCACAAATATGATCCAGCATGCCACTGTGCGTGTGTGTCCAGAACTTTATTTACAGCATGTAACAGCAAGGGCCGGGCTGTCAATGCATGACCGCGCATATGACCCGCTGATTATGATAAACAATCATAATGAATGGTGGCTATGACGATCTTTGCACCTAGGCCCCTTTACCTCTGTCTATGCCAAACAGCTGCTGCTGATCGGAAAAAAACATAGCGAAGCGTTACAGTGCTTGTTCAACTACATGCAGCATCTGACCGGAGTGCTTACCATAGTTGTTACCTCAGTCATGCGCCGGCAACATGAATCCTATAATACAACCCTTATAGTAGCTTCCATTTTCTTTTCCATTATCCCAAGATAACATTACCCCATATAACCCATTATAGTAGTTTCCATTTTATTTTCCATTATCCCTATGATTTCTGCAATTTTTACAGCTCGGTCTGTGGCCGAAGATGTCCTCGGAGTCCTCTCCCATTGAAATGTGAAGGTTTAGGGTTTAGGGTTTAGGGTTTAGGGTTGTTGCTGCTGTTTTCAAATGACCTAGCTGTAAGGGTTTGCAGAAGTCAACACTACGCTAGGATGATCTCCAAGAAGAGCTACAGGCAGTGAAGACGCCTTCTAGGCGGATTGTAAACATTCGCCAGATAGTCGAATGTACCCTCAAACAAATAACCAAACATACCCGAGCTACAGGGGGCTAGGGGATGGATTAATCTTTACTTGGAAAAGATTCCTTCTTCTGCGCCAAATCCCGTGTCTGAGGCCGCTGGAACTAAATTGAACTTTCGACTGGCCCCTATTGGGTAGGAAATGACCGGACACCCAAAAGAACCCCAGAACAATAAGAGTCATAAGTTCAAAGGTCCCTTATATGCAGTAGTTCAATAGAAGATCAAACTTCTCTGATAGGTGGCCTCAGCTCTGCACTTCGTATTATAGAGGGTTATACGAGCTTCAATCAATTTTTCCCTATGACTACTGGACATGCGTTGGCTTCTATTATGGAATATATTCAGGGACCAGGGACTATACCAAGCTACCAAATGGACCCCTATGTCCACCCTTCATGCTCCCTTGGTAAGGCGGATATGGACAGTAGCTTCTACGGGAACACGATGGGGATCCATTCGTTCAATGCCTACGACTCCCCTAAACCCTCAAACCCTACAACCCTAAACCCCAAACACTAAACCTCAGTAAGTCAGGCTTGTCCTTGTCAGCGCCTGCCATTAGCAAGGCGTTGACACATTCCAAGGAACCCCTTGCCGCAGCGACGTGGAGGGGTGTCTGGCCTTGGCGTCCAAACAGCTGGGATTAGGGTTTAGGGATTGGGGTTTAGGGTCCCCTCCCCAAATATGAGGACCCATACTCATAATCATGATAAGAGCAGCAGAAATGATGATATCTTACAGTAGAATACCAATGTCTCCGGGAATGCTGAATATATTAATGTGATGTAAGGGAGGTTACAGTTATTATTAGACGGTTGGCGGGGAACTATTTGTAGAGAGGGTGGTTTTGAGGGGCGTATACCTCAGAAGTGTTACGGGTTAAAAAAGTTGGGGGTTGTCTTGTGGTTTAAGCGTTTCGAGTCCTGAGTTTCTGTTTGGAGGTTATACCACTTAAGATAACACAGTCTTCTGACAATACTACAGCCAAAGGATCAATGTGATCTTACTCTACGAGTAAATTGCCCCTCCTTGCTCTCTCTGCGCCGCGATACTTGTCTTGTACCGTTTGACCTTTCATTCACCCAGTTCTCGCGATTCTCCTTGAAGCAACCCACACAGCACAAGAGCTCACAAAGAGAAGCCTTGTTTGGCTACGGTACGAGACCGGGCTTAGATCGCACGTCACTCAAAAAGGAAATCACCACGCACTACCTGGACCGGAGCTTTGTTAACGGAAGCAAGAAGACCCCATATGAGGCATAATCTAATCTCCATCCCCTTAATACCCCTAGAAAGGGCCCGTTTATAAACCCCTTTAAGGAGTTTCGACTACAGCTCATATGATCGGTTTTTAATGGTCTCTACCAATGGACACCCGGTATATGTAGTACAATCACTCAATACCAATTACCGAGTTTAGGGTTTAGGGTTTAGGGGTTTAGGGTTTAGGGCGCTTTTGACAAGAAAGCTCAGTCTGCAGCCATTCTCCTTCTGAGCGTCCTGGCCACATCACTCTTAGGAATGTCTGCTCTAACCCCTGAACCATAAACCCTAAACTAACCCTTTGAACAAACCATAAACCCTAAACCACCCCTTTCAACTTGAAACAAAGCTCGGGTTTGTCCGAAAGAAATCTGAGGATCCACAACAGGTCTGATCAACCATGAAGCTCTAGAAATGGTGTTCAACAATTGCTCTAGGCGGACCTCCTTGCAAGCAGAAGTACGTTAGGGGCCCAACCAACTGACTGCCCATATTGTTATGAGGTCTGCTTGAGGCATCCAAAACCTGAACTATACAAGGAATCTGGAACCATAATGCTGGTCGTCATGTAGGCGTCTACGCTTGTCCTTGTGCGCCCAGAAAAATCCATCCGAAAGCCAGGCTGGCACCTACAAACTCTTCAACCTGGTATAGGATTCTATCTACTCTGCAAGAAGGATCTGCCTTTCCCTCGAAAATGGCCAGCAATAAGCAACAAGTGCCCTGAAAGCCGTGATTCCTGGGGAAAACACTGAGCCATTACCTATCCCTCTAGCCACCCAATTTCCACTTCATTTCCCATGTTCTTCTCCATTCGCTTCTCCATGATAGCCTCAACCCTGAAAAAGTCTGCGAGTTTTGACCGGAAAGTCCCCCACCATGCCCCGAAACCTTAAGCCCTAACCCCCAGACCCACAACCTTTTAGTTGTGGCCTTGCCAGCGCCTGCCTTAAGCAGGGCTCTGACACAGTCCGAAAACCCCTTCCACGCAGCAAGGTGGAGTGGAGTCTGACCTGAGATATGGTTTAGGATTGATTGAAGAGTGAATAGGGAAAAAGAAAAGGCATGAGTCAGGACACAGAGGGTTTTGAGGGAAGGCGTGAGCCGGTAACAAGGGGAGTGACTGGGGAAAAGGGAGGGCCGTGAGTCGCGAAAAAAAGGAAAGCGTGAGGCGTGAGTCGGTGAGTCGGGAAAAAGCAGTGGTGTTTTAAAGTATGTCTGTACCTTGCTTTTTCTCTGTCACCTCCTTCAACTTGTCACAACGCAATGGCTGTAACGTATGCAGTGCTTGGCGTTCCCTCTGTCATGTTTTCTAACTATTTATCACAAAGTGACAATGGGTAGTCGTAACATGTGTCTGTACTTGGCTGTTCCTCTGTCATGTCTGTCTGTGTATCGCAAGTTGAAAGGGGGTGGTGTTGACATATGTCTGTACTTTGCTTCCCTCTCTCATTTGTCCTTTCTTTTCATCGTTCGCAAGATGAACAGGGTGGCTTTAACATATGTGCATACCTTTTCAACGGTCATGTCATGCTACGTATCACAAGGTGAAGAGGAGCTTGGTTTAACGTATGTCTGTACCTGGCGTTCCTCTGTCATGTCTTTCTACTTATTGCAAAGTGAAAAGGGGCTGGTTTGTAACGTACGTGTGTAGCTGGCTTTCCCTGTGTCGTGTCTTTCTACTTTCCACTTCTCGCAAGGTGAAAAGCGGCTGATTTTAACATACGTCTGTAACTGGCTTTCCCTGTGTCGTGTCTTTCTACTTATCGCAAGGTGAAAAAGGGGTGGTTTTTAATTTAAACTATGTCTGTCACTGGCTTTCCCTGTGTCATGTCTTTCTACTTCTCTACCACAAGGTGAAAAGGAGGTGGTTTTAAAGTATGTCTGTACCTTGGTTTTCCCGTTGTCTTGTCTTCCTACTTCTCGCAAGGTGAAAAGGGATGGTTTTGACATATATCTGTAACCGGCTTTCCCTGTCATGTCTCCCTAGAATGGTTTTAACATAGACTTTTTCCCTCCCGCTTGGGTATGACGCATGCTGGGAAACTGGATCCGAAAGCAGGTTGGCTCAACTCAGGCACGAACGTGTCGAAAACCGAAACGAATTACTTTGAAACAGGCACCCCACATAGATCTGTACCTGGCTTTCCCTCTGTCACGTCTTTCTTCTTATCGCGACGTGAAAAGGGGCTGGCTTTAACATATGTCTGTACCTGGCTTTCCCTGTGGTTTAAACATGTGTCTGTACCTGGCTTCCCTCTGACACCTGTCATTTCTTTTTACTTCTCGCAAGATGGAAAAGGGGTGGTTCTAGCAGGTGTCCGTACCTGCCTTTCTCCTGAATCATAGGAGTTTTTCTTGACTCGTGCCATTCATTTTTACTGACCCGTAATCTTCTCCTGACTCGCGGATTGTTTCCTGACTCGTGCCTGCTGTTTTTGCTGGCTTCTGGCCTTTATCCTCGACTCGTTGTGCCCTTTTTCTCGACTCCTGCCTTTTCTTTTTCCTGACTCGTGCTTCGTTTGTTTAGGATTTAGGGTCTCAAACATGGTGACGGCCTCGAGGACTCTAGGGATATAGTCCCCCTTAAGTAGATAGAGTATTAGTATTATATTGGGCTTATGTTGGGATAATGGAAACAAAATGGAAACTACAGGGTTTAGGATTTAGGGTGTAGGATTTAGGGTATAGTCACCCTCAAGTAGATAGAATATGGGGTATATGGGGAGCTTACTATATTCTATCTACTTAAGGGGGACTATATAAGGTGATAGTAGCTGGGGTTATACAAGAGACATTTTTCCCTTGGGAGGGCTTCGGGTTTAGGGGTTGCACTTGCAACCTTGGACCCTATTCCCTTCGCCCCAGCACGCTCAACCCTACACTCCCGGCATAATACCTAAAGATGGAATCTCAGGCGCTGGCTTTCGTCATTCCGCGCGTCCTAACGAAGCTGAGACTTGTCTGCGGTCATCATGTTGTCGCAAAAACAACTCAACAAGAAGACACATACTACCTTGCCTCAAATTTGGGACTTAATGACGCGCCTGCAAAACTAATCAGCTGGAGGCATTTCTCCTCCCGTGCTTCGCAGGGCATGACGGCACTGATTCTGGGCGTGCTTTGACGCTTAGGCCTGAAGATTTGATCCCTGCGGCAGTCCCCACATAATTCCCGATGCGGTGTAGTAGAATCCCTTGTCTTTTCCATTCGTGCATACCTTACTAACAAGCAGAAGGTCAAAGCTCCGAACCCCGCCGTACCTTGTCAGCACCTGCTTTCAGCAGGGCCTGGACACAGGCCAGAAAGCCCTTCCCCGCGGCGTGGTGGAGGGGCGTCGCACCTCTGGCATTGGCCAGCAAACACAGGGACTGCCATCAATGGTTCTATAAGGACTATTGCACAGAGACAATAGGGTGATTACTTCAAGGGGTTAGTAGGGGACCATTACAGGGGTTCTACATCGGGACTACTATTTAAAAGGTTCTATGAGGACCCTTAGCGGGCAATGATACAAGGACTGCTGTGACGGGATTGGTCAATATGCCCAATCTCCTCAACCCTAAACCCTTATATACATGCATATATAGTCCCTTATCCCCTTCAAACCAGAAACATCCCGCACAGGCATCAGAGATTCCCGGACAGCTCAGGCGGTTGCCTTCATCATTCCGAGTGTCCTGGCCCAATTAACTTACTGGTTCTTAGCAACGAATTAGGGAATAACATCCCTGATTACATAATCCCTATATAATATATTGCTATATTCCTTACTCAGAACCAGCTAGTTAAAGAGTTAGAAGGTTGCATAGATTTCCAGGAGTCCCCAGATGTATCCTGAGAAGTGCCTTCTACGGGTACATCCGAGACTTCTGTCCTATTTGGGGTCCCATTTGGGGGTCACCGAAGGTTCTACCCCTATAGGAATCTAGCCTAGAAGGAGGGCGTGACTATTCTAACTAAATTCGGCAGGACGTCATTGAAGCAGAACAAAAGAGTCCACAAGAAAATGGAAATTCAGGGGGCGCCGCATGCTTGCGTGTGTGGAAACGAGCCCTTAAGCTGCAAATTATCATGAAATCACAGCCTCCAACCATACAAAAGTCGCATGCCATCAGCAGTGCATGTGGTGTCAGAGGGGCCTTGGACAAAATGCTGCACGGCGACGACCATGTGCCGTTGACTGTTGAAGTTCTGTCGCATCTGGTAAAACACACCGATGATCCACCCGATGCTGGATTAAAAGACCGTTCAAGTGCAGTCGCAATGGAAAGACACTCCCCGAGGGTCCAAGGACCCAAATAATAGGTTTTTGGGGCCCAATATTAATGGCATTATTAATGGCATTTGAGCCCTAAAACCCGATTATTTGGGTCCTCGGACCCTTAGGGAGTGTTACCCGTACAAATCTAGTACGGGCCCATGCACAATCTTCGCCACGTCAGCAAGCTAAGTCATGCCTTGCGAAACCCAAAAACCCTACCTCAATCCTCAGATCCAAGTTATAATCCCCCTTAAGTAGATAGAATATGGCTTTGGGTATATTACAATAAGATCCCCATATACCCCATACTCTATCTACTTAAGGAGGACTATAGCTCCTGAGTGGTACATGCTAGGTTGTCCAAATCAGATGCCCCTTGTGGACGAATGCTGGTCGCAAGGCACCGTGACGGGGATGAAGCAGGATCATCATTCGATCTCAACAACCCCCCCCCCGAATCCTTACTATAACTGCTACCCCACAAACGTCTACAGTAACCCTCTAAATCTGCAATCCTCAAAGCCTTAACCTACATGATGTGTGATTTTCACTCCTTGTCTGGCATACTAGTCATTGGAAAAATGGTGAGTGTGCTTTTGTTTTCCAAGTCTCAGGATATATGTTGACGTAATCGTTTCCGGTGGGCGCGCCATTATTTTCTGATCAGAAAGCCTCGTCAGGAATCCAGCGTCCATCACTTTTCATATCTCCTATGTATGACCGATAAAAATACTGTGCATCACATCCGTGAACCCCACAACCCGTAATCCTTGAAGCCCTTAAACTGTAAACCTTAAACCCTAAAATCTTAAACCCTAAACCGTAAACCCTACACCCTAAACCCTAAACCCTAAAAGCCTAAACCTTAAACCCTGAACCCCCTTGACCTACATCTCCTAAACCCTAAACCCTAAAAACCCTAAACCTTAAACCCTTAACCCACCTTGACCTACATCTCTGAACCCTAAAACCCTAAAAACCCTAAACCCTAAAACCCTAAACCCTGAACCCTTGAGCTGGCCTTGTCAGCCCCTGCCTGAAGCAAGGCTTCAACACACAGGGCGTGACCTCTGCCGGCGGCTGCATAGAGGGGCGTGGAACCTTGGCCAGATATAGGGTTTAGGGCCTATAGGGTTTAGGGTTTAGGGGTTTAGGGGTTTAGGAATTAAGGCTTTAGGGCTCAGGGATTTAGAGTTTAGGATTTAGGGTTCAGCGTTTAGGAGAAGACCTGTCCTCAGGTAATCTCCTGCCCTTAACTTTACTACTCCCCGCTGCCCTAACATCCAACATTCCTGGCGCGGTATCCTACAAATTGTAGGGAATACTTAATATCAGAAGGCTGGGAAGGATTGAAGTAGAACGAAGAAACGGGTCCCTCCGGAAAAGTCCTGCCGCCAGGAATTCATGGGACTGTGATTGATTCGAATGACGGGCTATTGGGACTTTATCACTGCCTCCTGCGCGCAGGTGCTGAAGATAGGGTGGGTGCATATCTTTTGAAAAGCGCCGGCATTTCCAACAGTGGGCGTCTGCCTAATGCACGCCCAAATTCCGCAGTGTTCATTGCAGGGGCTCCTGTCACTGGCCATTTTAAACGACTTGGAAAACCCTCTGGCTGGCAGTTTCCCTAAATAAAGGGACCCAAATCTAGACTCTAATATCTTATAATCCTTATTTTAGGGACCCTAAAAAGGTAGCCCTAATTTTGATGAAAAACTGGGTCTTTCCAACCCGCCATGGTCCGAAATG